TTATTATTATTTTTTATTTTTTTTGTGGAAAAATGCTACGATCTCTTTACGGTATCAACCTATCGGGTATTTTAACTGTTGGATCCACGTGTAGTTAGATAAGATAGATGATCCAACGGCTAAAACATCTGACGAAATGGAGACCGTAATGGAACCGTAACATTTTTCTTTTTTGTGAAGTGTTGAAGTGAGTCAAGAACTCTGGCATGTCACTGCTGGCTGGCCACCCCTAACTTTTCCATTTCATGATTTTAATCTCTTTATTACTTTTCACTATATATTAATTAGTGGCTACAATTCAAAAGGTTATATCTGAAGAATAAATTATTTTTTTATTTTATATATTTTTTAAAAATTATACTATTATTTTGTCGAATAATTTATTTTTCTAATTTATATCATATAAAATTCTTAATAAGTTTATTTCTTTTAAAGATAATCTCTTATGTTAATGCAGAATGTCCCGAATCTACATGTACATATTGTTCCTACGTGTCTGATTTATGGTGCTTTCGTAATCCTTGCATGGTGGTTAGAGTCAATTTCTCTATATGATGAGTCCGTGTTTCATTTATAATATATCAAATTAATAATCTTTAATAACTTTGATTTGGGATCTTACACGTAAAATGAATAATAACACTAATTAAAAATCAAAATATGTATATATGTTAAGAAAATTATCTATCAATTCACTACTATAAATTAGAAAAAATCATATAAAACCGACAAATCATACCATGGAAAATTTACATTTTAAATATAACTAGTAATGCAATTTTTAAAAAGTATCTGAATTTTATAAAAGAAATTTATCTCTTACATTTTTTTTAGAATTTTAATATAATTTTTTAGTTAAAAAGTTATCAATAAATTCATTACATATGGATTAAAAGAAAATTATTATAATATAAGATAGACAAAAAATGTACAAGTAAAAATTATCATTTTAAATATAAAAAATAATGCAATTTTTTTAGAGGTATTTAAAGTTTAAATAAATAAAAAACTTATATTTTTACGTATGTTTTCTAATACTTCAGTATATTTTTTTAACTAGCACCAGTGGAAAGGTATTGTACTAGTTTAATTTTTATTTATAAGCATAACTATATCTATTTTTTAATTTTATACAAAAAATGATAGTTTGACGTATGAAATAAATTTTTAATTAATTCTATAATGTATTTATAATTTAAAAATTATTTATTGTGCATAACAACTAAAATTGTATAAAAATTATGAAGCTGCTAATAGTCTTTTTTCTTTTCTCTTCTTT